GTCAAGACTTCTTGCCTTCTTCCGAGGATAATTCAATAACTACAGCAAATGTAGAAACGAAACTTACATCAGTAGATAGGGAAACATGTCTTCTTTCTGATGGCACCAAAATTGCCAGAATTGGACCATCTTCAGTCGTTTTAGGGTCGAACGTATGTAGCCAACTTTATGCGGGAAGAGACCGTGTAACGTGTAAATGAAAGCAAATCCAAAAAAATATTAAGGAGTAGGTCAAAACTTCTCGCCTTCTTCCGCAGATAATTCAACAACTACAGCAAACATAAAAATGAAACTTACATCAGTACATAGAGGAACATGTCCCATTTCAGATTCCACCAGGATTGCTAGATTTGGACCATTTTAAGTCGTTTTAGGGTCGAAAATACGAAGTCAACTTTACGCTAGAAGGGACCCTGTAACGTGTAAATGAAAGCACAAACGCAAAAAATATTAAGGCGAAGGTCAAGACTTCTTGCCGTCTTCCGAGGATAATTCAATAACTACAGCAAATATAGAAATGAAACTTACATCAATAGATAGATGAACATGTCCCCTTTCAGATGCTACGAGTATTGCCAGAATTGGACCATCTTCAGTCGTTTTAGGGTTGAAAGTACGCAGCCAATTTTCCGTAGGAACAGACCCTGTAACGTGTGGATGAAAGTACAAATGCAAAAAATATTAAGGAGTAGGTCAAGGCTTCTATCCTTCTTTCGCCGGTAATTCAATAACTACAGCAAATATAGAAATGAAACTTACATCAATAGATAGAGGAACATGTCCCCTTTCAGATGCCACCACGATTGCCAGATTTGGACCATTTCCAGTCCATTTAGGGTCGAAGCCAACTTTACGCGGGAAACATCGTGTCCACAAAAGCAGAAGCGTAAAAAATTGGAAGCAGCAGGAAGGATAGCGTTTCCTTCTTTCGCGGACAATTCAATAACAACAGCAAATATAGAAATGAAACTTGCATCAGTAGAAAGAAGAACCTGTCCTCTTTCATATGT